TTTTGTATGCTCCCCACAGAGAACTGTTAGCAGTTAGTTTCTGTCCTCCATCAGGCCCATGCTGCTATCAGATATGCGGAACTCTGGAGGGAGGATTTGTGGTTGTGTGATTGCTATTACAGCAACTTTCCCTGACATACCTGTTATCTGCACTGTGGAACAGCCCAGTAGCACTTAAGAAATGTATTCCAAAGAGCTGGGACAGGAAGAAAGTGTAATTTCTCCTTGTAGTTCTCTTTGGTATTCTTGGTGTCCTTTATAGTTACAGTATCTAATTGCAAGCTGGAGATCTTCTCAGGCTAAAGTATGGAGATGAATGTTGAGGATGAGAAGACCAATTCAAATTTCATAGTTTCATACCAGAGTGAAAAAACTCTCCAATGTATTGCTTCTTCTGACTACAGTTGAGATTTTTAACAGCTGAGAGGACTTACAAACGCTTTTGAAATCAGTGTCTTTCATGTCTTGTAGAGCTGTTTTTGGTTCAAACCCCTTGCTTAGGTTACCTTACTTTTCTGGTTGCTATTTGCTACCTATCTGAAGTGCATAAGCTGTTTTGGAAAATGATCACCATGCTTCACAGTGACAATATACTGAATTAATTGCTGGCTAAGTCCATACTCACCTTATTTGTTTCTACATATACAATTTCTGATCTGAAACTGTATGATTTTGTGCAGAAATCTGGGAGTCTTGAGGACATCCTGAAAACTTGGCTCTTTGGTTTAGTGCAATTGTGTGATCCATACAGAGCTGTACTGATGAACAGCATGCTTACTGAGTAGTCTGAAAGGATTTATCTTGCGTGAAAGTATGTATGCTTCAACTCACTTCTCTCTTTTTAATGTAGTGTGAGTCCTGTCACCACTCTGCTATGGTTCTGGTTTCAGTTGCCTTTGCTGAATCACAACAGGCAAGGCAGAAGAAAAGGGGATAGCAGCAGGTAGCAGATGTTCCCAACTTAAAACATCCATTGTAGGAGAAATTAGGTTGCACTTTGCCCCAGAATTATTGAGACTTGAAAGATCCCAGAATCTCAGAACCAGAGGGGCTGGAAGGGACCTCTGGAGATCCCCCAGTCTGGCTTCTCCAAAGCAGTTCCCTACAGCAGCTGCATAGGAAAGCGTCTGGGGAATATCTCTAGAGAAGGAGACCCCACCACCTCTGTGGGCAGCATGTGCCAGGGCTCTGCCAGCCTCACAGTAAAGAAGTTCTTCCTCATGTTCGGATGAAACTCCCTGGGTTCCAGTTTTGCCCAGTGTCCCTTGTTCTGTCACCAGGCATGGCTGAACAGAGCCTGGCTCCATCCACTTAACCCCCATCCTTCAGATATTGGTCAGCACTGATCAGGTCCCTCTCAGCCTTCTGTTTTCCAGGCAAGCAGCCCCACGGCTCTCAGTTTCCCCACCAGGAGATGCTCTGTGCCCCCCCATCTCTGCAGCCCTCCACTGCGCTCTCTCCAGCAGTTCCCTGTCTTTTTTGAAGTGAGGAGCCCCGCACTGGGCGCAGTGCTCCAGCTGTGCTTCCCCAGAGCAGAGCAGAGGGGAGCAGCACCTCCCTTGCCCTGCTGGCCACGCTCTGTGCAATGCACCCCAGGGTCCCATTGGCTTCTTGGCCACCACAGCGCACTGCTGGTGCGTGGTCACCTCTTGGTTACCAGGACACCCAGGTCTTCTTGTACTGATGCGTGTAGTTATTCCTCCCAGACGCAGGGCTCTGCACTTGCTGTTGTTGAACTTCCTAGGGTTCTTCTCTGCCCAACTCTCCGGGAAGTCCAGGCCAGATTTGGCAGGCGACTTAAAATCTGTTACATCTTGATTGTTAGGCTCTTAAAACAGATGTTATCTTCATTTTATGTGTCAGTGGTCTTTATCCAGACATTGCACTGATAGAAGGGGTAACAGAAAGAATGAATAACAGCCTGGAAATGGGAGCAAAACAGCAGTTCCCAGAGTCCCAAAAGCTGCACCAGAAAGAAGAAAATGCTGTGATTATTGTCAAACTGGAATCAGGTGAAGAATTGGGTTTTCTTTTCAGAGTTAGTGAAGTTGGGTGCTGGAGCAAGGATGAATATTATTCTTGTGGCTTTAACTGTTACTAAGTAGATTGCTGTGAAAATAATGCTTCCTATTTATTTCCTTGGAAACTGAAAGAGATGAAAGGGCACAATAACATTATTTGATAGAACAAATTCTCAGCTACAAAACAAGACAATAGTCACCACCATTAGCTGTGCATTTTTGCCATCAAGGAACAAGAGCTTCACGCTGTACTTGTCAAAATCTTCATGGCCATCTAGCACATGGCTTGTCTTTCATATCTCTGTTGCCACTGCTGAAATGCCTCTCCTGTCCCTCACTGTGTCACATCCAATGGTTGGTCCCCATAAGTATTCAGCAAGCATCCATGAATAAGAGCGGGTGCCTTTTTTTCCACATGGAGGAATTCAGTTCCACTCCTTTGCTTCATGCACATTTCCATGTCAGATTCCATTTTGTCAGACTGTCCCTCTGCTGCCATCTGCCACACGGCAACAAAATTTAATGGGTGGGAAGGTTCAAACTCTACTGCCATCCCACCAACATCTGCCTCTGGTGTTGTGGGTTGACATCATAAATTAGGAGGCATTACTTTTGGAGCAGCCGTCATACTTTTGTATACAGTTCTACAGTATATCAGGCTCTTGATTTTTAGGAGTTATTTCTGTGCTGTCTATCTAGATATCACATGCTGAAATGAGGAAATGCATGAAGAAGAATGCATTTTTAGTATGTTTTTTTTTTCCTTTGTTGGAAAGGGAAAAGCGTTTTCCTGCTTTGCATATCTTAAATGCTCAGAAAATCTGCATTCACTTTATGTCAAATATTCTCATATTCAGCTTTGTCATCATGGTGAATTGACTGTGAATACTTCAGGAAAAATGAGAGTCAAATGTGAAGCAATGGGGTCCAGTTCTTCCCTGTTATGATGAGATCAAAAGGCACGTTGAGATGAATCACAGCATTGCAGGGATTGCAAGAGACCTTAAGAGATCAATTGGTCCAACCCTTTGCTAAAGCAGTTCCCTACAGTAGGTGGCTCAGGTGGGCATCCAGACGGGTCTTGAATATCTCCATAGAGATATTCCCCAGCAATATGGGCAGCCTGTTCCTGTGCTGCATCACCCTTGCTATAAAGAAGTTCTTTCATGTGTTAGTACAGAACTTCCCATAGTCAAGTTTTGGGCCATTACTCCTTGTGCACCACCAAGAAGAGCCTGACCTCATCCATTAGCCTCCCACCTGCCTTCAGACGTTTATAAACATTGATCGGATATCCCCCTTAGTCTTTTCCCCAGGCTAAATAGCCCCGTGTTACTTGGCTTCTTCTCATATGGGAGATGCTCCTGGTCCTTCATCGTCTTTGTGGCCCTCCACTGGACTCCTTTGAAGAGATTCCTGTCTTTTTAGAACTTGGGAGCCCAGAACTGGACACATTAATCTGAATGTGGCCTCCCCAGGGCAGAGCAGAGGAAAGAACCACCTCCCTTGCCCTTCTGGCCATGCTCTTTTTATTGCATCCCAGGATCCCCTTAGCCTTCTGCTGGCTCATGGCCAACCTGTTGTCCACCAGGACCCCCAGGTCCTGCTGTGCAGCGATCGCCTCCAGCAGGTCATCCCCTAACCTGTACAGATGCATGTGAGTATTCCTCCCCAAGAGCTGGACTCTACGCTTGCTCATGTTAAACATCATTGTTCCTCCCTGCTGATCTCTCCAATAATAAAGTCCAAATCAAGAAGAGAGTTTGTGCTTCAGATGGTATCCATCAGACTCTGCAAAATTCTGGAATAAGCCTGATCTTCATTTTAGCTAACAAAGCATCTGTTCTCGAATTGAAGATGTCTTCAAAGTCAAATTTATGATTCATTTTCAACCAGTTATGCACTTCTTGCAGAAAATGGGCCAGAGTTTGGTCCTCCTCTGGATCAGATGTTTTATGATTATCAGGTCTGACACTCAAATTACATGCTTTTTCTGTTGGTTTCCTAACAGGGCATTTCCTGTGTGCTCTTCAAATAATCTCAATGGGCATCTCATTCCCATGCCTTCCCTCTTATTCCTTACCTACGCAGAGTTTGTTTGACACATTCAGAACTTGTGTTCTCTGTTTTGTTACTAGTTAGAATGAGCAGCCTCTATTTGAGGGCAAAACCACTCATATTTGTGAATGAGCTAGAATTATCTAGCAGTGATATTTTCATGCTGAATGCTTCATTACACCCATTTCGCTGCCTTTTATGCTGTTAAACTCTCTGATAGTGTATGTAAATAACACTTTCAGTCATGGTCTTTATACACTGGGAATCCAGCTTACCACTGAAATTGGACATACTTTCCTCAATCATGTAAAGCAGAAGATAAGCTTCTCTTTTTTTCTTCTTCCTTTTTTAAGGGCAAGCCTCAAAATAATAGTAATTAGAGTGCTCACACACACAGAGTGAAATTGCAGTGTGTAAATAGAAGCAAATAAATACAAAAGATCAAAGGCTAGATGGTACAGATATGTACATATTGAGGAGAAGACTAAAAGGTAAGGATATGTAGATATAGAGGGGTGCTGGTAGCCAGCCTGGGAGCATATCTTCACCAAGCTGTCATTCCTGTAGAAGGGACTCTGTTTTGCCTGTGAAGTTGCAGCATTAGACTTAAAACTTCCTGATAGATCTTGCTGAGGATTACACCAGTGTTCTGTTGAATTTTGAGACACTTAATCCCATTTTAGCTTTCTTTTTTTTTTTTTCCTTCCTTTTCCTTGCCAGGAATCTGCAATCACTGAGCACCTGATAAAAATCTGTGAGTAGTTTATCGGTCCCTTGGGCACTGAGGTGTTCCACACCTGCCTTCATAGCCAGATGCTACCTCAGCTAGGGTGTAATCCTTTCTCTGGCTCACATGCTTGTGCTGACAGGTTTGCTGTGTGCTGTGCATCCTCAGTGTACTCTGGTCTCTTTTCCTTCCAGGATGGCACACTCTTTGAATGAATGGCTATGGCAGCACGAGTTCTGGCTCCCCCCAGGAATTACATGGGAGGACATGAAGGAGTCTGAAGACATCCACTACCCTAAGCCTCGTGATCTCCTGCTCAGCATCCCTTTTGCCTTAATCCTGGTTGTCATTCGATGTGTCTTTGAAAGGTAAGTTCTTTAGTGATGTTTGGGGTGTTTTGGGGGTAACAGCATCATTGCAGGTCCAAAACGTGGCTCTGTTGTCTGGACCAGTGCACGATTGAAGAGAACCACAGAAACATCAGATCATAAATTCTGCTGAGACAGATATTTTAGGTCTTACTTTGCAGCTGTATTTATTTACTAAAGAAGCATGTTGAATATAGAGCATTTACCCTTAAGATCTAATTATAAGCAGTGTAACTTCCTACACTTAAAACAGGTAAGCCCTGGTATTAGTTTGTGCTTGTGCTTCAAAATGCAGACATACTGTTTCTGTTGTACATTGCTGGCTGTTTCTGGGTCAAGTGAAGTGGAAATAGTGTTTAGACTTCCTAAATACATTTAGGTGCCCTCTATCTCAGAAAGTGAGGATCTGGGATATCTCACCGGACAGGGCAGCCTAAATAATATGCATTAACATAAGCTTGTGCCCTCAGAACCAGCACTGCATAGCCACATGAACATATGCATTTCACTCACCACAGTTCAGGATTCAGGAGTGTAATTTCCTTCGGAGCACCATGCAGGGAGAATTGTGGCTGCTTTCTCCAGGTCAGGGCCTGCTGGAGCCACTTACAGTGCTGGGCTGCCAGAATCTCTCCTCCTCTTCCCCTGCTTTGTGGCTGCTTTTTGCAGTCTTCCAGTAACAACACAAGAGTTGCTGTGGTTTTAGGATCTTTTTGGCCGGAGCCATTTGGAAATTTTACCCTTCAGGGAAGAAAATTTGGGAATTATGGCAGAGGCACAGCTTGAAATCTCCCAGTGTTTGCTGGGTGGGTTTCATGAAGGTCCTCAACTGGTGCTATTGATATAGGCAGTTTAGCCATTGTTTAGTGTTGGTGTGATGTAATTTGTATGCAGATCAACTGAAAGTTACCATAGTGTCATCAACTGTCAAGGCTGCAGAATAAATCCGCCTTCATGATTTTGAAAATTACTTAAAATAGTCTTTGCTGGATTGAAGAAATCCTATTCCTACCTGCTGTCTGAAGAGGGTTCCTTTAAGGGACGATGGCTGCTCCAGAAATAATGCTTTCTAGTTTATTATGTTGGCCCACAACATGAGAAAAGGATGGTGGTGGGATGGCAGTAGAGGTTGAACCTCCCCACCAACATCCCATTACCATGTGACGGATAGCAGGACAAGGGCAGTCTGACAGAATGGTGTCTGACATGGAAGTGGATGAAGCAAGGGGGGTGAATTGAATTCCTCCATGAGGAAAAAATGATACACACTGATGTTCATCAACATTTATGGAGACCAAACAGTGGATGTGAGCACAGTGAGGGACAGGTGGTGCATTTCAGCAGTGGAGGCATTGAGGTGGGTCACCTCTGCCGTTGAAGATTTGTGTGAGTGCAGCTTGCAAACATTGTTGGCAGAAAGGCACAGCTAAAGGTGGTGACCATGTTGAGAAACAGTGTTACGTAGCTGAGAACGTGCTCTATCAAATAGAGCTATTGTGCTGTCTGTAACTGTTGTAGTGTCCATGGAAATAAATGGGAGGCATTACTTTTGGAGCAACCTACATAGTTTAGTCAAAGATGGTGGTGGTGGTTTTTAGGAAAAAAAATAAAAAAATTAAAATTAAAAATCAAAAAAGAGTGCACAAGAAAATGGAAATAGACCTCTCTGTAGGCTAGTAACAGATTTCTTCTCTGGATTTTTTGTGACACGAGGACATAATGGAAAAGTTCTTTGAAGTAGATTCTAAATTCTGTTGTGAGAATGTTTTTATGTAAAAGTACTGGCATTCAAGTAGAGTGTTATTAAAACCAAATGCATGAATGATTATTTAAAGAATCTTTTTATGATGATACTTGGAATTGTTTGTAAAGAATATGTTTAGGGTGCATTCCATAAATTGTGTTGTTTTTATCATCCGCTTACCTGAGGACATAGGTGTCTCACTTACCTCCACTCATGTTTGAACCAAGCTGCTGTCAGCAACCATTAAAAGAGAAGTCAATCACATTTCTTCCTTGCTGACCTGTAGTCTTCTTTAGGTAGGTGATCTCAGTTGGCCACTTAGACATGCTTGGAGAGTGAAGCTAGATATCAACCTCCATGTTCTGCATTGACCAGAATTGCCCCATTCTGGGCTCGTGAAGACAGAGGAGCCAGACTCTGCTCAGTGATGCCTAGTGGCAGGACAAGAAGAGGCACTGAACACAAACTAAAACACATGATATCCCATCTGAATATAAGAAAACACTTTTTTACTGCAAGGGTGGTCAGATATTGGGACAGGTCGCACAGGAAGGGAACACTCTTCTGTGGAGAAACTCAAAGCCCCGCTGCCCGCTCAGCAGCCTGCTCTCGCCACCTCAGCCTGAGCTGCAGAGCTGGGCTGCGTGGTATCCTGAGGCCCCTTCCAGCTCTAACAGTTCAGTGCTTTTGCGTCTTTGTATTCCTCTTCCTCCTGCCACATTGGTCCTAGTCTGCCTGAATATCTTTTGTCTCCTTTAAGATACCTCCAACCAGATAAAAAGATTTTTTTTCTTTACTATCCAAACACTGCGTCAGCTGGGAGGGTTTCCATGGGCCTAGGCCTGCTCATGCATTTTAAAGCTGTTTTAATTCACAAACTTCATTAAATAAAAGCTTCTTGCCACACCCTTTAAAAGATAATATCTCATTTTACAAGTCCAGGAAACCTGTAATCATGCCACTATCTTACCTATGCAAATTACAAGCTAATGTTCTGAGCCATATTCTTGTTTGTCCTAACTCTCTACAGGCATTTATTTCAGCAGGAAATTTTCACATTCTTAAATCATTACTGTTTCACAGTCAATTCATCCTGGAAAAGAAAGCCTCCCTTAGTGTGAATCAAGCCCACTGTCTTTCAGTTACGTTGCACAGGTGGGCTAGGATGGTTTAGGCTCATTGGCAGAGTTTGGAGAAAAGCAGGCTGAAAGGATGCGTATTATTTTTCACTTTCCGTGCAGATGGCTCTGACTCTGTAGCTTTGCATGTTTGTGGATCAAAATGTGAGTTTGGAGAACATAAATAAGCTACAAGATTGGTTTAAATGGCTTTCCCTTGGCCTCTGTCAATTTATTCTACCCTTATGACTTGTAACTGTGCATCCGGTGTAAAGCATTTCTTTTGTTTGAGTATGCTCTCTGTTTCTGGTGGTTCCTGCTCTGGATTTCAGAAATGCTCTGTCAGAATTCCAAGAAAATTCTGAAGAGGCAAGAGAAGCCCAGAGGAGGTTCTGTGAGCCGTATTTCAGCAGCTGCGTTGGATGCCTTGCTTGGCATTTTTTAATGGTACCATCTTATGGTTTTGGAGTTCATACCTTGGGAGTTTTTCTACCTGCTGCTACCTGGAGTGTTTTTTCTTTTCCTCTCCTTGGCATGTATGGGCTGAACTTGGATAAACTGTGACAAAAACATCCAACAGCCAGTTGTTGAGTGGATTAGGTGGTGGCTGTGGGAAGTGGAGGAGCTGGGTGGGGCCTGGGAGAGCTGAGGACACTGTGAGTGCAACCCTGGAGGAAAAAACACTTTGTGAAGCAACTCCTCTCTGAGCTGCTGTGATCTGGGTAAGGTGGGAAAATAGGGGGTGTTCAGGGCTGGTGAGCAGCATACAGTGCTGTTTGTCTCCATGTGCCACAGTACTGAGGCAGGTCAGAGAACCACAGAGTTGTTGAGGTTGGACAGACCAATAAGATCATCCTGTCCAACCAGCAACCCCCACCGGTGACACTCTCGGCCATGGCACTCACTGCCACATCTCCATGTTTCTTGAAGACTTCCTGGGCAGCCTGTTCCAGTGCCTCACCATTTGTTCTGAGTGTACAAATAAATGAAAATTAATTTATTATAAATAAATGCTTCCTGATATCTAAGCTGCACCTCCCCTGGAGCAACTTCAGGCCATTTCCAGCTGTTGGGGGAGGTAAGTAGTTCTGTACTGACACAGGAGAGGAGCTAAAACTCGAGAACCTCTTCAGTTCTTCTGATTGTGCTTGTACATATGAAGTGTGTTCTGGACCCGTAATTTGGAGCCAGATTTTAAACATCTGTGTGCCTTAACAGAACTTTTCCCTTGGTGGCGTCAAGTGGTACAACAAATGACAAAGTCAAGAAACAGCAACCTGGAAGATTCATTTTGGGCTTTAGGAAGAACTTCATTCCTGGGAGGATGGTGCAGGCCTGGGACATGTCACCAGAGACATGGAGAATCTCTGTACTTGGTGTCCTCAAGACTTAGCTATGGTGCGTTTCCAAGACTTCATGTTGAAACCTCTATTGTCCTGATTAGATGTTAGCAATGGTCTCCCTTTGAGCAGGACATTGGACTGGAGAAATCCAGAGGTCTCTTTCAGCCAATGCTAGTTTATTGGGCACTGTGACGTACTTATACCCCACCTTTTTGTGATAATTGGCAGCCCAGCAGGCTCTGCTTTTTACAGATTTCTGCACAAGCTCAGGTCTAGGTGGATGCTTCTGAGCCTTAGCACAATTCTGTATACTGGTGAATATATCATACATGTGAAAGTAGGATGCTGAGCTGGCAAGTGTCCTATGTCACTGCCTATTATATTGTCCTTTTCTGTGCTCCTGTCCATGTTTTCGTACAGGACACTGGTGCTCAAAGGTTGATTTTGAGTCTTTGTATCCAATACTCAAACTGTAGTGTCCCGACATCACTCATAACTTCCTGTAGTTGCATTTAAAGGCCAGGGTCTTAGATGCATTGTGATTGTTTCAGGTGTTTTGTATCTCCCTGCAGCTGTAGTTTAGAGCTGTCTCAGTGACTCTTTTCTTAACTATATGGGAAAAACTTGATGATTTTGGAGCTTATGACATTAACATTTCCTCAAGACCTTTGTGCTTCCTTTGCACAAAGGGGAAGATGAGTGCCTCTTAGCTAAATTTTGGATGATAAAAGAACAGTTCTAGTGAATGGTGAAAAAAGCTTTTAATAGGAGAAAACGATAGGATAAAACACAAAC